TACATATGTTTATTTTGACTGCTGGGTTGACAGTATTCCTTTAGAAATTTCTATGCCTCTAAAAAACCCGTATATAACTTAAGAAAGTAAGTGGGCACTATCTCTGACGTATCGCCGAATAGCTGCTATCAGTTCTTACATATATCTCGATAGGAGAATGCACTTTGAAGCGGTAGACCTATCACTCACTTATGATTATATTATATAATATACTTAGAAGTTCAAAATTGTAAAAGCTTCACTTACTTCTTATCCACCTCGATGGAGAGTTTTGACTTGCGTGAACGTCTGGTGATTACCGATTTCTCAAGGAACTCCTTCAAATCGGTCAAATGTTCCTCCTGCTTCTCCGAATGCCCTTCAAATTTGCGTTGTGCTTTCAACATAAGCTTCTTATTCATTTCACTACGTTGACGTTCGATCTCTGCTACCAAACCAGCCGTTGGCGGCAACAACTTTATATCGCCAATAATCAGATCATGATTAAGTATTTCCGGCTCATTGCTTTGTATACCGATCTCCGTTTTAATAATCTGTTCCATGAGATCGATTTTCTTTACGGTGTTATCGACACCTTTAGCTGCTGCCTCTCTGCGCTGGCGTGCGGTCGCGCGCGCTGCTGTATTGCTCGGTATACCACGCATTACTTTTTGGCCATCGCCTTGTGCATTGCCAGCAGCCGCCGCCACGTTTGTTTTGTATAAATTCAGGTGATTGCTGTTGTTCGCGTTGCTTGTCTGCAATTGATTGCGCGCCTGTGCTGTTGCGGCTGTTGTCGTGGCCGATATAGAGGTCGGTTTGCGTTCTGTGAATTTTGAACGTAGCTGGCGTCCGCTAAATGTAGCGCCAATGCGCCCTTCCTCACCGGTAGAGCTGACGCGACGCGCCGATCGTTGTGTCATTGTTGCTGTTGGTGTGGCTGTGGCTAAAACGGGTAGTTGTCGATGCGTCATAGACTGGCGCACAATAATGTTCTTCGTTTTGCTGCCGGAGGCAAACATTTCGTACTTTTTTTCGAATTTGGAATTTTTTTAATTACAATACACACGATAGTTAAATAATTTTCAAAAACTGAAAACAAACATTTGCTTTCGAGATGTAAATAGAAATTTGAATGACTACTTTTCAACTGAAGTACTGATAATTTGAAATGGAATGATTGTTTGGAATGACAGTGGTGCGAAAGTGTGGCAGAAATGAAGAAAATTTATATTTAGACAAGGGTTTCCAAAGTTTTGTTTGTTTTGGGCAAATAATGTGACATAAACATACATTTTTCATGCAATTTTTTGTCACAAGAGTGTTATTTTTTATAGCGCATAATATTTCGCGAACTTTTATTAGTGCTTCCTGTGTGTAATATACTCGTATAAAATGTTGACTTAAAATTTTTGCTCTCAATTATTTGTCAATCAATATTTTCTGCTTAAAAGACATGCTATATAATAATATAAATATATATTTCTCAATTATTGGCTTCTATTCTGTGTCCATATGTCATTAATTTTTCTTTTACAATATATTAAAACAACAACCTATTTGTAGCATTAGTTTTATTCATTTCATATTCTCAATAAACATTAACTGCTGTTGTTGTTGTTGTTGTTCCCACGACAGTCGGGTCTACGAAAACCAGAACGGACCCGGATTTTTTATCCGGCCAAGGACTTTCAACTCGGCAGAATTTCTGCCGCTACAACAACAACAACACTAACTGCTCTTTGCACATGCACAAACATGAATTTCGACTTAATATTTGTTTACGTTGCCTTTTTAGTGTTGCAATACGTATTAGTATGATCTAAAAGATAAAACTACATATATTAATATACATATGTATCCATATGTACATGGATAATAATTATTGTGACATTTTGGATATGTTACGCGTATAAAGTTTAAGTGTGTGTAAATTTGTGTATTAAAGTACATTAAATTGCATTTTGTTGACATCAAGGCGAGTGAGTAGCAATTTATTGAATATTTTTACATATTATAAAACTTTTTTTAATATATTTTTAACAACTATTATTACATATGTATTGGTACAACTATAGGTTTTCATAAGTGTACAATATTTTTCAAATTCACTTCACTGACATTTCTATTTATTATTTTCTTGTAATTATAAGTACTTAACTATTTTTTCCTTATAAAAAAAGTGCATGCATATGTATAAGTATATTATTAGTATACCACATATTTTAATTCTTTATAAGCATTCGCAGTGGTTGTTCTTTCGAGTTGCTTAAAACTTGAAAAGTTTCAAGGGATATCGCTTAAATTTATTTGCAGCAGTTTTGGCTGTAAAGAATAGAAAAAAATGTTGAAAAGTAAAGTTGTTTTTATTTGAAATGATAACGACATTTTCATTAATATTTGTTATGCTTTTTATTTTTCGTAATTTCGCTTGTATTCGTTGGTAAAAGTTTTGATCGATAACTATTTCGATAATTAGTTGCTGTTGTTGGGCATTATTTCAAGCTTACATACGCCATGTGTACTGCTCAGTCTTGTTAATGAAAAGCAATTTTAAGAATTGCAGCTTTTGTTAGAACATAAAAATTACTTGAAGCCAATATTTATTATTTATGAAATTTAAATTATTTTTTTTTTTTATAAAAATACATACTTTTTATATTGTTTCACATTATATTGTATTTTGTTTTAATATTTAAATTTCTTCATAATTCAAAAGTACCGTAATAATGTTTTTTTGGTTAATGAAATGTTGAAATAATACAATTTAATAAAAATAATTAAATTTGTTATTAAAAAATTATTATTAAAAAAGTTATCGATATTCAGAAAGGSTCACTTTATAAATTTTGCACTAAAGGTTGGTGCTAAAAATTGCCATTATGACTATGCTGGTCCTGTATTTTGTGCACTAATTTCTGTAATGCTATTGCTGCCACCTTTTGTAATACTAAAATGATTTCCAATGATGCTTTTTTACCCAGCCGTAAAACGTATCCACAATGGCATGACAATAAGACTATGGCCAAAATAAAAGCGATATTTTCCTTGCACGTGTGTGTGTGTGTTAGAATTTTTTCCGAAAATTTTCGAAAAATTTCTTCAATGTTAACTCTACTAATTTTTAGAACTTTTTAGTACTTTTTAGCAATTTTTAGCAAATTATTGTTAGACATATTTGTAGATTTTTAGTACTTCCTGCATTTTTTACAAGCTTTGCTTTAAACTTTAGTACTTAATTTGTTTCATAATTTATCTTCGCGTGTGTACTTAATTTTAGTACTAATTTCGAATTACTTTTTTATTCCACATAAATCACTTTGATGTGTTTGTGAAATAGTATTTTAATTATTCTTGTAGAAATGAGAAAATTGTGGAAAAAATATTGTGTTAAATTAAATAATTCCAATTTTTATTCTTATTTAAAAGAAAATTTATTATTTTATTGTTTTTACTCATTAAAATGAATTTGTGCGAATTATTATTATTTTATCATTTTAAATAAATTAATTGTGCTTTAATTTTGGTTTGACAAGTTGTTTTTTATGTTGAGTGCAAATAAATTGTTTACCGAAAAATATTTATATTTTGCCTTTGAAGTCAAAAGCGTTTTATTTATTTTTTATTACAAAAAAAAAAAATTTTTTGTTTGAAATTGAAAAAATTAGGCACACAATTTTTTTAATTAAAATTTGAAAGCTGTATTTTTTACAAATTTAGTTTATTAACATATTTTTTAAATAAAAAAATAATTTTTTATTTCAATTTAACTTTGGGCTTAATTGTGTACTAAATTTTTTGTAAACATTTATTTTTATATAATTAATTTTATTCTTTTATTTTACTTTTATAAATATATATGTTTTTATTGTTTTATTTATGTTTTTACTATTTTATTTTTTAAGTTTGTTGCTTCTTTTTATTTTTAATTTAATTAAAAATTTATTAATTTTAAATTATATTTTGTGAAATAACTTTTTAGTTGTTAGACATATTTTAAACAATAATTGTTTATTTTTATTCTTTCTAAATTTTTCATTTACTTCTTAAGGTTTGTTTTGTAAATTTTTCATATAAATAATAATTCATTAATTTGAATTAATAAACAAATTATAAATACTCTTTTGATTGTTATACTTCTTTTTGTATAATAGTTGTTTATTTATATTATTTTTTATTATAGTTTTTATTTTCTTATTAAAAGTTTTTTTTTAAATTAATTTTTGTTATAATTAATATCTTATTAATTTAAATTATTGTTTTTCACAAATATATTTTTTGATCTTATGTTGGTTTTTAACTTTATTTTTTTTTTGGCTTTTTAGTTTTGGAAAAATGAATATGTTTTTAATTTTAATTAATATTTTTTATGTAGACATATAAATATATTTTTTATTTGTTATACTTATTTTACGCAATAACTGTTTATTTTTTATTAAGCTGATAATTATGAAAGCAAGATTATTATTAAAAATTCTATTTTTTAGTATGACATATACCTTAACTGTACACCTTAAAAACGCCTGAATGGCTTTTTAAATGTTTAACGTACTATTTATTAGTATCAAAATTAAAACTAAAAAAAAAACTCCTCCACTCTTTGCAAATAAAATTAGAATGTCGTTAATTTTTTGTTATAAAAATTTTATTATAATTTTTTTTTTTCATAAAGTAAAATTATATGAGTTAAAGCGCAAGTTAAATAATATTTGGTATACGCACACAATAAAGTTGCTAAGTATGCCAAGCATACTTGCAGGCGTTCTAATGCATCATTTGCAGCCTGCGTACACTTGTTGCAGCGCTCCACTTTGGCGTTGTTCGTGCAACATACATAAGTTGCTTTTATAAAAATTTATATTTAATATAATTTTTCTACCAATACAGTTATTCATTGCCACATTTACTTGCCAGAGAAAGGCACAAATCATATTCGTATTGTATGCGTGCATGTATGTATGTATGTATGTAAGTTTACCTTCACTGATGGAATGAATGATTACATTAATTTCCTCTAAATCTGTTTTTATTATTTTTTTAGTAGTTAAATTGTTGTTGTGACGGAGGCACGTTTTTCTGGGCTTCTTSTTGTTGTTGTTGGCTATGGATGCTAACATTATTTACTGTTATGCAATTTATTATAATTTACAATTTTTTTTATTTTTGCTGTTGTTATTGTTACAATACTCGTCAGTGTATATAAATATGATTACCGCTGTGAGTGTATATATATATGTGTGTGTGTTAATTAATGTGTGAGTGTGATTTCATGTTGCATGACTAAGCGAAATAGCTATGTATGTCTATAATATATACTCATTGGCAACAACTACAACTACATTTTACATATGTATGGATGTATGCGACTATAGTACGATCCGCTTAATCCCACAATCCATACAAAACTTAGCCTGTTCGACTAGAAATTTGGCGCCACATTCGTGACAGAATTTCGACATTTTCATACTCGCGCTCATAGCCGCATTTGCGCTGGACAGCGAACTGCTCGAACTGTAGTGACCCTTGTTGGCGGCTGCCGGCGCAGTTTGCGCTTCGTCCTGGGGGAGGCCGGTGTTGGTTGCATTGCTTGCGGCTAGGCGTGCGCGTTCCATGGTTGTTGGCGAACTTAGTGGACTCTCAAAGTTGTTGTTGGTTGTATTATTGTGGTTGTTATTGCCGCTAGCGCCGATGCTGCTGTGCTGTGGCGTATAGTGTGTGCTGATATAGTTGTTGTTGTTGTTGTTGTGATTCTTATTGCCAACGCCGCTGTACAATTGTTGTTGCTGCTGCTGCTGTTGTTTCTGTTGTTGTTGCTTATATTTAACATTGCAATCACTGCCATCCGAATTGTCGCTGCTGGATGAGGCGCTTATGCGTCGCGGGCGTGCAGCCACAGGTGCATATTTGTACAATTGCGTAGCTTTTTGTGGCATCTGTTGCTGTTGTTGCAATTGCAATTGTTGCTGCTGCTGCTGATATTGATATTGCTGCTGCTGTTGTATTTGTTTTTGTGTTTGCACATCTGCTGGCAGCATCGCGGGCAATGTCGCAGTGGTCATGCCGGTCGGGTTGCTGGTGGTGGGACGAGTCCGCGTGGCGCTGCGTTGCGGTGTGGTCGACAGCTCTGATGATCGCTGGCGTGAGAGGCTGGGGGGAAAGAAGAATTTGTATACATATTTGTATTAGTTGTACTTCAGCTAGTTGCGAAGGAAACGTTGAATATTTAGTTTCCTTAGCCTAGCTTAGAACTGCTTCGAGGGCAGTTACGTTGACGGAAACCGTTACTTAGACGTCATGATGCCTATTTTCATAAGAGAAAGCTGTTTGCTACATGAGATCAAGACCATTTAATTCTTGAATTAAAAGTTTTTTAAGACTGCATGCTTGCTACAAGATGCCCATGGAATCCATGCACAATATTCTACCACACAAATTTTGGAGTCTTGGTGTTAGGGCGCGAATTTAGAGCAAAGTTAAAAACACGATTTTTTATAGGAATAGTGAGTTTCTTATACTCAGATCTCTAGCTCATAATCTTAGGATTACCGTTAGTTGAATCCGTAGATTATGAGTAAGAAAGCGATACAAAAATACAAAATCTCAGTGAGGTACATAAAGAAAAGTAAACACAACTATATTTTAATAATCTTAAAATACTTACCTCCCGTACGCAGAGTCAGCGCTTAGTTTAGAGCCGACACCACGTCGTGACGACTTCGAGGATATCGGATAACCATCCAAACTGCTCATGTCGTCCGAATCGCCACACGCATCACCGCTGACATCGCCCGAGGCTGCATACATGGGCGTCACTGCGCCCGCACTTGCCGTCGATGGCGGTGGTGTTGTATTTGGATTGTGCGACATATATTTACCACCAGCCACGCCACCGCGTTCACCAACGCCAGTCATACCGACCTGCTCGTTGCCATACAACATTGTTGTATTACTACCGACCGCATTGAGACCGGTCATGGCTTGGCGTATATTGGCGCCCACTTCTTCGCTCATTTGTCGAAAGTCATCTTGCATTCGTTGTATCAGATTTTTGGCATTATTTAGCTGTACATTCGGCAAGTGATTGCCAGTATTGAATGGAGTGCAACGCATCAGCATATCGCCTGCATGACTCTGGCCGGCGGCATGTCTTGGTGGCAACTGCTCCTCGTCGTCACTAATCTTGCTGAATTTATTGTCACAGCCGTCGACTTCAACTTCGACCATTGTTTGTGGATTGCCAACCATGCTGCGTAGCGAGTCGGGTGAAATGGGGGATCGACCATGTTCATTTGGCTCCGTCTCGATGCTGATGAAGATCTCACGCTTTTTATGGTCGACGTCAGCATGTCGCTTCGTGGTCATACCGTCATTGACGTAAGTGTGGCTTTGTGTGTTGACACGTTTTAGCTCCTCGTAGCGATCTGATAGCGGTGAAGATTCTTTGCTTTTTGGGCGTGATTCATCACGGGATCTGCGAGAGGAGGGTGTTAATAGGTACGTGGGATGGGAATATTTATTAGAGGCGAGACTTGGAAATTGAAAATGATTTGTCGTGTTGTTGTAGTCTTTAGTTGGTGTTGTATATTGATTTTTTTTGCTATTGTTATTGCTATTGTTATTGTTGTGGTTGCTGTTATTGTTTGCATTTATTGAACTCGGCGTCTGCGTCGAACGTTGCTTATTCGACGAGCGATTCAACAGAAATTCCCTACAGTCCTTGAACAGAGGAAATTGCTCATCGTCATTCTCGAATGACGAGAGAAATTCCTCAAAGTCAAAATCGTCGAAAATCGGTAATGGCGGCACTATAGGTGGCGTCTTCAGTTGTGTGGTTTGTCCCCGTGTATTGACGAAGCATGTCTGTGGTTGCTGCTCTTGCTGTTCCTGTTGTTGCTGTTGATATGTCGATTTATATTTGGATTCATAATACTCCACAGAAGAACGATTTGCTTCGTCGTCAGCCGAGCAAGAGTCATCTGCCTCGGGTGAGACATCGTAAAGAAAATGATTACGTCCCAGCCGTTTTTTACGATTCAACAAGTTTCTACCCTCAGTTGAGCTGCGTTGACTGAGCGTCGGATGTGCGTTTGGCTGTGTGTCGTCCGTGGTGGAAGGCCTGCTTGGTATATCTACCGCCGGACTGGTTGTTGTAACCGCCGGCGCTGTTGCATGTAATACCTCGGTGGGTTTAGTAAGCGGTAATAACTTTGTAAGCTGCGAAATCGGACCAGTTTGTGTTGCTGAACACTCTGAGGAGGATGAAGAGAAGTCTAAGCGACGTTCCACATTATTACCGCCAACTGATTTCAATGTGTGTACCGTATTTAGATTTACGGGCAGATTATCGTATCTATTGATGAGTTTGGGATCGATGTACTCACTGCTAGAAGTGCTCTTGCCCTCCTTGCTGTAGGCGGAGAGTAAAGAAGTTGTTGCTGGTCTCGGCTCGCCAAGCAGCGTGTTTAAGTTGACTGGTCGATTAACAATGGGCAATTGTGTGGGCGTGGTGGGTGCCCGTGTTGTGCCTGGCTTCGTTATTGGCGTCGAAGTAGCCTGTGGTAAGGCTATAGACTCCAAACGTATGGATTGCGTCTTTTGTATATTGGTATTTGCTCTCTCGTACGGTGATGTGTTTGCTGCATTTGGTGTCTTTTCGACCGGTGTCGGTAGGTGTTGGAACGAATGTGCTTCTACCACTGGGTTTGTGTTTGATATTGGAGATTCAATTACTTCAGCCTTGATACTCTTGGCTGAATTTTGCTTGCTCAAAGTGTTACTTTTATCTTTGAACTCCTTAGAACTGATGTTATTGTGTAGATTTGTCGCAGATGACTCAGTTGTATTTTGTTCGGTCGGCTTATCCACTGTGGCCTGCGCGTTGAGTTTATCCAATTCTTTCTCGTATTTTAAGAATGCCGCTAAAGAGTCGGTTTTCGATAAATATTTGGCAGCAGAGTTCATCAGTTCATCGGTGCTGTTAACACCCAGCATTGTCGCACAATTCGGTGTGTTCGTTGCAGACGTCATTGTAGCAGCAGCACCCTGTACATTGAGTTTTAGACCCTGTTTACGATTAGAAAGACTGTTATCACGACGTGCGACACGTGGACTCTTTGTTAACGCATAATCGTTGACACAAACAGAACGTACAGGCATCTCATCATATTCTTCGGGTTTCAGAAAGTTTGTTGAGATAGGACCTTCGTCGGAGAGGCCGCGTTGTATGGTGGGGCGATGGTTTTGCGCGAACAAGGGACGTGACGAAAGCATTGGCGAACGACGCGGACCACGCAATGAAGATGTGCGTCGAAAATTAGAAGTTGGCTTGGTGGCGTTTACCGAAGGCGTTGCTGTCTGGCGTTGGTTTTGTGAGTTGTTCGTCAAGGGACTAGAGTTAGGCGTAGAAGTGCTTAGTGTGAGTGAAGTAGACATTTTTGCTGGTAAACCAGCTGGTGACACAGGAGTTTGTGGCGTAGTTTTCGGAAGGTTAGAGGAAAAGGAGGGATTATTTGGAGGTGAGGATGAGCAAAGCTCTTCCAATTGACGTTTGGCCGAGAGGAATGGATCATATCTATCGCTTGGCAAACCGCTAAAAACAGATCAAACGTATTAATTCCAACGGAATAATAAAGATCTTATATGTAAGATATGCTGCGATACTGTCACTGACTTTATATTATTAACTGATTGAGTGGCATAAGAGATGAGTATGCTTATCGTGAAAGACTTATGATCTAACATAGTTTATTCGGTGTTTATAATTTTCTACACTTGTATACAAACCTGAGCACAAAAGACTTGTCGCGCACCAGTTTCGGTGGTGCCTTGATTACTTTTATCTCGTCATCCGTTTCATCATCGGCTAACGTACGACTATCGCTATCTTTAAGCTCCTCACCGCCATTGTTTAATATTTTTGTAGGCGCACCGAACATTTCTATGCTCTCCTTGAGTAAAGGTATCGCTTTCATGGGAGCGGCATGTGCCGAAATCGACTGACGCACTAGCTTCTTACGTTTGGGCCGACATATTGTTAAGGATCTTATAGCGTTCACTTCCAATTTTGTATGTGAGTCAGCCGCGGTTGATGTGGTCGCCCTTTCGACGGTGGTAACAGCGATTGTCGTATTTGGCAACTTGTTCAAAGTAGTGTGATGTGTTTGTAACATTTTCATGGGTGTCGTTAGTGGCGGAGAGTAGCGCTGCAGTTTCAGATGTTGTTGCTCCTGTTGTTGTGATTGCTTTTGTACCAATTCGTAGGATTGACTATTACGCACTTTGCTTTCTTGCAACGGTTCATCACCATGGTCGGTCATTACAGTGCCCGCGTCAACGCGTATGCTAGGCTCGGACGGTACTTTGGGTTTCAATTTAGTTCTACGCTTGCAAACTTGTGCAACACTTGCTGTGGGCTGAGTTTGAACTCGTGTTGATGTTGTTGACTTATTGACACCATTCAACGGACAGGCGGTGTAGGTTAGAGTTGCGGACAAGGCATTTGCGTCTCCGAGACAGTGGTCCCTGGTTTGCTCTACGCGCGTCAAAAGTAGTGATGCATGAAAAAGTGTTAGTATGAATAGTGCTGAGATATGATAAAGAAGTGCTTTACTCGAACAAGGATTGGACGATTTCCTCAAGCCTTAGACTCTGAATTGTACCTTTCGGAATTTGTTTGAAATCCACTTAAGAATTTTATGTTAGTTAATTGTTACTAGATATATGTATATTTAGGAAACTCAGTATAGTTTTCCACATCTCAAACCCCATACGAAAGGCAGAAGGTATACACCCTGAGCTTTGGTGTTGCTAGGGATTTGGGGACCGTCGGTATAAATGTGTTATCGTTTCTTAAGGTTATGCTTCGAATGGATTCGAAAAAGCGAACCGGAGCTCGTCAACGATTTCTTTCGAGAATTGTCTCACACCATACTTTCACAAAATGTGAGTAATAATCTGGTTGTGCAATAAACTTGTCTGTCATAGAACTCAGTATATTCAAATAATTCAGAATATGTTGATCTAAAGTGTGAGAAATAAGAGAAAGAGCGGAAAGTAGGCTGAAATCTAAACTTAGAAGGCTCTTAAACCGAAACAAAGACATCGCAATACTTAACGTCATATCATGACCTCGATCCTCAATACGAATACCCTTTTTAATTGATGAGATACTTAATTTTCATCGACTAAAGGATGTTTTTGTGAAATCAACTAGCAATTATAGTTGGCGATTGGAAATTTGAAAAATTTTGGAATTTACGGTTCATGGAACTGAAATAAAAAAACAAACTCGACCTCCATTTATTATAAAAAATATCTGATTTTTTTCAAAACTCAAAAATTAAAACAAAAATAAAAATAAAGAGTTGGCTGACTTCGTTGGGCTATGTGAGATCTTAATTCATATTCTTTATGGACAAAACTATTGATACCTGTAGTTACTGCTGGCAAGCTTTCATCATATTTTCGTGTTCGAATCTTCTCGAATTGCGGCGATTGTGGTCTCGCTTGCGTATTAATTGCATTCAACGTAACACGACGTTTGCTCATCTTCTTGCTTGCATCATTTGCAGCCAATCTTGCGCCCATCAAACGGAAATTATCGAAACAAGCACTCTTTACATAATCATCAGTGGCGACATTGGCAAGGCGCCTAGGTGAGGGAGGCGGCAATTCGATAGCATTCCGATGCACTTTTCGTGTGTGCAAAGTGCCGTGAAAATCTTTCATAATACTGGGCTTTCTGACGGGGTTAGGTGGGAATGGAATGACACGATGGTTATGATCAGATTGATGAGGGGAATGATGAATTTAAAGATGACAATAAAGCACGAGTTCGATGATGGTGATAAAGATGAGGTTGACCATGATGATATTAACCAGTGTGAGTAGTCGAGCGAAGAAAATAGTAATTGTTGATTTCAGTATAAATTTTAAATCATTTAAAATTTTTCTGGCAACTCTGTACGTGCTCATTTCAAAACACTACATACTTATATTTTAATAATAAATGTTTCAATAACAAAAAATCAAAACACTAAATGACTGTGGTGAGATGTGTTGAAATAAAAAGGAAATCAAGTAACAGTATCGCAAATAAATCTACCGTAATACATTTGCTATATAACAGTTATAAAATTAAATTCTACTAAAGTGGCAAAGTTTAATAGTATCTCATTAAAAAGTTAGGGCTCATCAATAGCAGAGAATGGAAAAAAATACAGATCATTTAACGAAACTTAGCCCTTGAAACAGTTCCCAAAGGATAAGTTCGCCATATCGCAATTTTTGTTTATAATTTCGTTTTGACACGTTTTTAATTAAATTGACCACACCGAACCTTTTTTTCTTGTAGTTTCAAGGATGCATAAATACCTTAATTTATGTCCAGTAAATTTCCAAATAAAGTTATATTACATTAGACACCATATTTAAGTAAATTCTCATTATAAAATTCATCACTAAAAATAAAAAAACATGCTAATACGTGTTATTGCACTAATTTTGCAAAGAAATTCACCATGCTCAAAAATTTTATTGTAATAAAAATTGGATCAGAAGTTATATGTTAAATGGACAAATTTTCAAACAGTATGCAAGAACTGTTTCGATAAAAATTCACCACACTAATATAGCAATCTGCTGTGAAAAAATAAATGGAATGGTTATGTATAATTATTATAGAGCTATTTTAATAAATTCACCACAAACTTAAATTTTTATTTAATTAAAAGTAACTTTACGCTCACTGGCCCGAGTATTCTAATAGAGTTATAAGCTTCTTAGAATATCGTATCACTCTCCTAAAGAAACACACCACACCACTAAAAGAATTAGTTAGAAAATCTTTCTGTTTTTCCAATTCACATTACAAGCGACTTAGAATATCGTTTTATTCTCCCAAAGAAACTCGCCACACCAAAACAAGTATTAGTTAATGTGTTTTCTCTGCTTTTCCATTCTCTGGCCCAATTGAAATCCCGGCTAGTTAACTAGTCATATTAGTTGTGTACTCACCTCTCACTTGTCAGAGACGATGTCATTGATAGTGACATCACACCGTTACCGTTCCCGTTTCCGCTACTATTTATATTGTTGCTGTTGCCGTGGCGCCCAACACCGTTTGTAAGACTGCTATTATTATTATTGCTGCTATTATTGTTGCTGTTACTGTTGTGACTACCGTTTGCCGTTTTTACCGTTTCGCCAAATTCGTTCTCATCACCAGCCAATCCCGCGTATTTATCACGATTTAACGAACGCTTAGTTCTGAAAAGTCCCCAAAAACCAAAATGTTGTGTTTATTAATTATCCCCTAGCTTTGTATCAAAACGTTGGTAAAAAAATGTAAAAAAAAGTAGAAAAAGTTGCAAATGTTATAATTTTATCCTCATTTGTTGGCAAATTGTTTGCCAATTTTTTCTATTTTATTTATGTGGGTGTATGTGTTTTGAACGCCCGTTTGCTGCTATCGAACAATTTTTCACTACAACATTTGACAAATAAATTCACTTCGTGTCAGTCAAAAACTCACAAAAAAAATGTAAAATGCTTGTCATGAAATTTCAACGCTTACTTGAGACAGGGTGCACGGTATTTGGTGCGCGCCTCCAGTCGCTCTTTGGCCAAGTTCTGTTCCGTTTTCGCCGTGTGTTTAATGGAGGCCTGCAGCGCCTTCTCTTTGCACCACTCAACATGCCGATCGTACGCCTTCGGCCCGAAGCAACGCTCACAGTGCGGACATTGCTCAGCCGGCGGTGGCTGTATGCGTTTGGCGAGTGAACGATCCGAAGAACGCATACGATCGCGTGTAAAGCTGCCGGCGCCGGGCAGTGAGGCCGTCGATGTGGTCATCTGGCTGTTGTTGACTACTTGGCTGGCAGTCACGGCAACACTGTTGGCGGTGGCTGCGGTGTTCGGCGACTGGCTTTGTGCATTGACTGCCAATTTGCGCATCGAGGCGCGTGCGGTGCTGCGCGCCAACTCCTCGCCGCCGCTCGACTTTTTGCGCGTTAAGATAGGTGATCCGATGTGCTGCAGAGTTGAAACCAACAAATTTAACCATTTTGTTTGTGTTGTATGCAAAGCAAATTGCGTTTTTTTCACTCACCTGCAATGGCTTGGGCGACTGTCCGCGCGCTTCCTGCTTGGCTGCCGGCAAGCCGAAGTTCTTCGGCAGCGGATAGCTGGCCAATTCGGTGCCTTCACGTCGTTGGCGCGAGGAATCGAAAACGTTACGTTTCTTTGTTGCCATTTTTTCACATATACCCACATGCTTCTGCAGCGTAACGGGATTGAATGTGCGCTGACAGATGGGGCAGGGCACCAATTGGGTTGGTGCATCCGGATATGGATCCGCCGTGCTCGCAATTGTGTTGCTGTTATCTGTTGTTGTGTGTTGTTTTTGTTGATTGATAGCGCAGTAGAGAGTTAAAAGCGTAGAAAAAATAGGGAAGAAATAGAGTTTAGACTATTAGTATTTGCTGTTTTTGTATACTGACAAAATAATATACATTTTACATACGTATTTATTTCTATTTACTTCTACGCTTTAGTGACGTTACTGACAGTTGTTCAAGGGTTAGAGAGAAGCAAATTGAAGGAGGAATTTTATTAATTTTTCTTCAAAACTTCTAATATGTGTTGTTAAGTTGCCTTATTTTAGAAGCTAAAGTATAAAAGTTATTAGGCTTTTAATTAAATTGTGGCATAACTGAGAGAAGAGGAAGCGAAGTATGTACATAAAGGCGGCGGAATTTCTCTTCAGAATGAGAATTAAAATCATGAAAACGGTTGGTTAAGTTTGGAATTTGATGTACAAGATTTTAACAGTAAGCGTCTAAACGGCCTGGATAGGCGAACCGGGATATTAAATTTAACTCCACACAGAAGAAAAAACTGCTAACTATTCCATTCATGATTTTTACTAAGAATGTAACAACAAGCGTTTCTCTATGACTAGAGTATAGAGGAAGACTTAACCTAGAATCCCATCGGAAATTTTTCTACTAAGGCGAAAAGTAAATTGTGTCTGTACCCACTCTAACTTATCAGAATAGATTTGGTATCTAGGGTTCCAACAACAAAGCCATATTCCGAGTTGTAAAAAGTGTTTAACAAAACTGAGAATATCTTTTGCTTTACATATAGTTTAGATAAAACTGATATTTTTGCAAAACCCCTATAGATTGGCCAATGTATGGCCAAAATCCACTTTTACGCAAAGGGGTTATAAATGACTGGTTCTACATTGAAAGAAATTTACCTTGTTCACGGGAGGAGTTAAAAATCCTTGTCAAAGGTAAGAAGATGTATTTGGGACTAGTTTACAGGAATCATGAGGGTATCATATCTAGGCCATAATTAAAAGATGATTTTAACTTATTTGAATTGGGTAAGACGTCTTCTTACGAAATAAATGGAGCGCTATTTGAAGTACTCGGTTAGAGCACGTGTTGATAAGGGAAATATATAAGGAAAATTATCAAAGTACTTTGATTTGGAAAATTCTGCAAACATATTGACAATAATATGATTGTCACATGATGTGATAGATTTTTATATTAGCATAGACGGAAATTTGTAAATCCTGCGAAATCATAAAACAATTTGGATTACGTACAATATGATTTTTGTAAGTAATTTGTATACATCTTGTTTAGGTCCCAGTATCGTATGTAGGAGTTTATTTAAAAAAAATTCAAGTATAAGCATATGTTGGCAAAAGTTGACTCAACGCGTGAATTATTTTTACCGCGCAATATTAGTTTTTACTACCGCTACTAGCTGTTGGCTTGCGGCTCCGTCTTGGCATGCTGCAATGCCAGGCGACAAATTTAACTCCACTCAGCACTTTTGCTTTGTGGAAACAATGAACTTCTTTGTCTATTTTTAAATTTCAAGAAATTTGCGCTACATATGCTCGAATCTTTTTCGTTGTGCATACCCAGTAGGTATTACAATTAAGCGCCATAAAAACAAGAACATATTTTTAGAGCGCAATTTTTTGTTAAAACAAAAAACCGGAAATAAAAAAAACAGAAAAAGCTCTTCGCAGTTAAGACAGTTTCCAAACAAGAACTTAATTGTGATAGCACAGTTTGTATGACAGCCCTATGCTGTAGTGGTCCGATTTGAGCAATTTTTTCAGATGTTGTACTGTTAGCTTAAAAAAGAGTGCATACGAAATTTTGTATCTCGTCAAATACAAAAGCACGAGAGATAATACGCCATATTACAGAGTTTTGCTTCGATAAACTTATTACGGGTGATCCAAGTAGAGTTTCACCAAAATCGTGTGATACTACTCCATTAGACTTTTTGCTGTGGATGTATGTAAAGTCTTAAGTCTATGCGTAAATTTAGGTCTTGGAGCACAACATCACGTGTGTCAATTATCAGTCGAAATGCGAAACTAGTCGAATCGAATATTGGACTCAACGGATGATGGATCTGATACGTAGCCGCGGCCAACATTTGAAATAACCTCTAAAAAATAAATTCTGAAGAATGTTCTTTTCAATGAAAATAAACATTTCCCACTAAATTTTGGAATTTTTTTAGTTTTTCTTTAAATAGTAAGGAACCTGAAAATGGATAACATTTTATTAAAGAGCTTTTATATTTTTATGTGAGTTGGCGCCGTAGACGTGATATTATTAAATGTTATTGATTTATTTAATTCTTATATATGCATGCAGGTTCGTATTTTTTTTTCTAGTTTTTCACGACTAGTTCTATTTGAAGACTGTAGATAAGCAATATGCACCGTCAAAAAATTTTCCCACTGGGTCGCTATCAACTAGAAATAGCTTTATAAAGTGTTGCATACATTTCTCACATTTCTTTGGTGCATTTAGAAATTCCCGGAAATATCCAGAGATTTAATTAGAGATGCGCATAGATGACTCATTTGACTATACGTATGCCCTATACTGCAACAACACATGAGTTGTCTTCGACAATTTAGTTCTTCCAACAACTAATTATGATTTGAGTTGGGTGTGAAGTGATATTTTTATACTTATGTAGTATTATGTAAAAAAAAAGTATTCTATGTTTTGCATAAAGAAATTGTTAAGAGTTTTGTTTCACTGTGTTTTTTTTTTACTAAAACAAGTCATTTCTCACCAGAAAAATACTTTTCATGATTAAGTTTTTGTTCATATATTTTTCTCAAGTGCTTTGAGGTCAAACTTCTTGAAAGTTGTTCGCTTTTGTGAATAAATCCATCATTTAAGTACATTATTATTAAGATATACCCTACTAGAAATAGAAAACATTCTAATTGGAATTACTACATTAATTTCTCTGAAGAAATTCACCACGATCCACCATATCAACCGCTATAAATAGAAATAGAAAAGAAAACGTTCTAATTCGAATTACCACACTAAAATTTCGTTACAATAAAAATGGGTAGGCAGTTCTTTCTTAAATCCGCGGTTTCTCAAAAAGTGTTTAAAAATTGTTTGGTTAAAAATTCAACACATTAATATTTTTTATAAGACTGTGAAAAATTTAATATCTGTTGGAGTATAATCACTCAATCCAGATATATTGAATATCTACAATGTTTATATAATATAAAATTTTGAAAAAGCTTTTATGGGAAATTCACCTCAAATAATTTAAAATTTTGATTGCGTTAAAACAAGATTTAAATCTATTGGTCTCCGAATTGGTTTTTGCGAATTAATTAACTGTATCGTACGAAATTTCACCTTGTTAAAGCTTGAATTGCAGCTTTGCATTTATGGCATTATATAGCGATGCATAGCCAGTTATCATTAAATTTATCACTGATCTGCATTTAAATCACTTCTCATATTTTTTTAATAACAAAAATCACAATAATTTTCCCACCCGAATAAATTGACATTGTTGTAGTAGTATGTCAAAGAAAGTGAACGACAAAACAATTATAAAATCAAAACATAAATACCATATCTCTGGCAAAACGTGGTGTGCTACGCCAATAAGCGTCGCCCTGCAGAACAGGTGCGGCGGCGCGCTTTATAACACCTTCAACTCCGCCGTGGGCTTCGTGTTCCTTTTTTCTTTTTTTGTATCTTTCTTGCTTTTTAGCAATTTCTGCACGTTCATCTTTCAATTCGATATGCGATTTGGCGTTGAAGTGTTTGGAAGCGTAACGAAAGCGCCCACTTAAAAGCAATGAGGAGAGGCAACAAGGTGTATGGAATGCAAACAAAATATTAAACAAGAAAAAACTTTGCTCATCAAAATATTGCTAGCATTTTGTAAGTACTTTGTTATGAAAGTACCCGCAGTTGTATGCCAGACAAGTTACTAAATTTGGGCAACACGCGCTGTTGGGTTATGTGGGATAAAATTAATGTCTGAATGCAAGATACAACCGAGAAGAACACGTAGGCAAGACACTGAAAGGTAGAATGTAATATAGGGTGTTGTTTACTAGAGACATAGCTTTTAAACTAACTGTCAAAACAAACACATCTCTTTGACATTTATTATCAAATTACAATGGACAGACTTATACAGGAACAACGTTAAAAAATCTATGAAAATTATTTCCAGAACTCGCTTTTTATGTGACAAGCTCGTTTTTATTCTTGACCAGTAAATCATTTTCATCGACTAGGCACATTTCTGTTGAATGGAGTACGTCAATAAACAATATTGCCGCAAGAGATTTTTCGAGATACTCTCCAACTTTGCTTGTCGAAGGTATTATTGATCTGAGATATAATTATAAAACGGAAGATAGAACTCTAGAATTATTTTTTTAAGGTCTACAAGTGGAATATGGTTTTTTTGTTTCGCCATTCTGCAATGTTTTATGGAACGAAGTCGGCTAGTCTTTGTTAAACATATGAATTCCAACCATTCTAAAATTTTTTAAGCCGGTTGTTACTGAATTTCGTCGATTCAGTCCCGGTAATTTTGTTGTCAAAATTCAACATGCTTTGGAAGGCCAATTATAGAAAATAGCTGTAAAATATTCCTTACCTTCATGTAAGCATTGCTTTGATTGCTCAGGAGGTAAGCTGTGCACAACAACCCGTTTGTAATCATTTAAATAAGAAGCTCAATGTAGGGTTGCCATACGAAGTAACGCAAAAAAACTCTTATGGACCAAATCTTTATCTCCGAGTCACTGTTGAACAAAATCGATTAATTTTTGAAACGGTTGGTTACTGGTGATGAGAAGTATGTCGCTGACGAAACCGTCAAGCGAAGATGGTAGTGATCGAATAACGCAAATGATGGTCAAGCCTGAATGGCGGTCAGAAAGGTTTGGCAGCGAATCGCCTATTATGACCTGTTAACCTACGGTCAGACACCTAATTCTGACCTATACTGTCGATAATAATACTGTCTGAAGAAAGCAATCACCTAAAAGA